ACACTGACATTTGACATTTATACGTTAAATTAATATAATCTGTACTCTGAATGTTGCAGTTTTACAGTTTGACGCACTGCAGCTCCTGTTTATAGAGAGTTGTTTTCCTCACTCAGGTGCATTAAGTGCACATCAGTTCGAGGCACATTGTAGCACAGCCTGTGCTACCCCGAGCTCAAGGAGGACGCTGGAGGCAGGGTTCAGGGTTGCAGCAGCCATATTTCTTTAATCACGCTAAATAAACAATACAACTCAAACAAACCAACACTGCTCTATGCTAGGCTGGCCACTTTTCAGTGGCTTCAGCCAGACTTTTCAGTCCTTCACCTAAATAAGCTTTTCAGCTCTTCTGTCTCTTGCTGCTGCTGCTGCTCGTCCCTCTCTCTTCTCTCTCTGTTCCCTCTCAGCTCTTTTACGGGAACGAGAGCTCGCTGCTCCACCTCCTTGTCACCGCCCCCAGCTGGCAGCTCAGCCGCCCGGGTCGAACGTGAGGTGTAATGGAGCGGCCTCGCTGCGTAACAGGGGGCGGGGCCCAGGCGGCGGAGCTCGGGACTCGCTCCTTGCCCTGGTGCCTCTCGTTGCCGGCGCCGTCGTCGTCTTCCTCCTCCTCCCGCCATCACTCGCGTCACTCGGGTTACTCGGAGGAGCTCGGGCTTTGCGCTCCGCCCCCTCCACACTCGCGGCTCTCTCCCTGCCGTCCTCGCCGCTGGTTGTTCGGGCCCCGCTTCGCCGCTCTCGCGGCGTCTCGTCGGGGCCCGGGGGGGCGGGCGCATGCCACACACATTTGCACAGATGAGAGGAGATGGAGAGCTGATAGATGGGGATCATCAGTCGATCTTAGTTGGCTCTAGTTCTTCAAGGAGCTCACACTGTACAGATTTACTGATTTATATTTGAAATATTTTCATCTATTGCTCCACTGTAATTTGCCATTTAGCTAAATGTGAGATCAATGACTGTTTTTAAACATTTTATCAAACATTAGTCATTCATACAGGTGTGTGTTTAATGATGTAGGGGTGTAGCCATGAAGCCCAGTGCTGCTACATTTACTATTTTGGGTGTTCTGTTACAAATAAGCCATTAATTATAAATAATTAGGCTGCGTTCAGGTGGCGGAGCGTATTCAGCCCAAAACTACATTACCTCTTACAGCAGAGTTGAAAAATGTTCAGAAAAGCTGTGTCACTTTTCACAAAGTAACCAATCAAAAAAAGGGGAAAACTGAACTGGAGAGTGCCTGTGAGCTGAATAGTGGGACAGTTTTTTTTTCACATTTATGATTAAAAAAGAATCAGCTTGAAGATGGATATTGATTGACTGGTGAAGGTATGAATATCCTCTACATTGTTATCACTTAAATTTTAATCATTTCTTAAAGCTCCCCCTCCCCACACAGCCTCCGGCGTTCACCACATCTTCCTCTCAGCAGAAGCTCTAGTGTGACGATGACCCATGATGATAGCAGCTCTGATGTATCTGATAAGCTCAGTGCACTAAACATCAGACAGTTACTGACAACCTGTGACGCATTCTGTTCATGCAGTAACCTGTTAATAAGTCATCGTTAATCATTTAAATTTAGCAAATTAACCCAGCCTGTTATATAACTCAGTCTATCAAATCTAATTAGATGCATACGTGGACATGTTTTGTAGAGAACTATGCAAACAGCTTTTCATCTTTTTTAAATCTTCTTGTTTGGATTGTGTTTCTGTAGAGTTGCAAATACATTCACTTCTCTTTTAAGTGGAAAAACACAGGTTTAAAAAGCTGCAGAGAAGATGAGGCTCCTAAAAACCACCTGCTGCCACAGTTTCTTCTATGTTTCTTCCCCTGTGTTGCAGTCATGTGCTTTTGGCCCTAGGATTTTGGTTTTATTTTGTTTCCCTTCCTCTGCCCTTCTTCTCTCCTTCCCTATTAGGATTCTCACCTGTTTGTAGTTCCTGTCTCCTCCCTCTTGCCGGTGTTCCCCGCCTATATCAAGCCCTTCGTTTCAGCTCATGGTTGTCTAGTCTACATAATGTTGTTACATGTAGTGATTACGTGTCTGCCCAGTGTTTGCTTTGCTCTGGGGGCTTCTTGGTTAAAAGCCTTGTAGTTTGTTGTTTTGTATCTTTCTTAGTGTTTGTTATAGTTTATTTTTATTTATTAAAGTTTGCTCATGCTTACATCCAGCCCCATTACTTTGCACACATGACACCTGAAAGACCTGGTAGACACCAAAAATGCTGGGCTTTCTTGGTTATGAAGCTGGTGTTGAGGGTCCAGGTGAGGGTCTTTGCTAAGTGAACACCAAGAAACTTGGTGCTCGCAACGATCTCCACAGGGGAGTTGTTGATGGTGAGTGGAGAGTCGTCACTCTCTGCTCTCCTGAAGTCAACAACCATCTCCTTTGTTTCGTCCACATTCAGATGCAGGTTGTTGACTTTGCACCAGTCCGTCAGGTGCCACACTTCCTCTCTGTATGCTGACTCGTTCTTGCTGATGAAACCAACCACAGCAGTGTCATCGGCAATGTTTTTGATGTGGTTTGAACTGTGAGCTGCTGCACAGTCATAAGTCAGCAAAGTGGACTGAGCACACTACCCTGGGGGGATCCAGTGCTCAGTGTAATGGTGTTAGTGAGAAAGTCCAGGATCCAATTGCAGAGGGAAGTGTTCAGGCCCAGCAGGCTCAGCTTTCCAATCAGATGCTGAGGAATTATAGTACTGAATGCTGAACTGAAGTCTATGAACAGCATCCTGACATAAGTGTCCTTTTTCTCAAGAAGAGTAAGAGCCAGATGAAGAGTGGTGGTTATGGCATCATCTGTAGAGCAGTTGGAGCGATTTGCGAACTGCAGAGGGTCCAGTGATGGAGGCAGCTGGGTCTTGATGTGCCTCATTATGAGCCTCTCGAAGCACTTCATGATAACGGGTGTGAGCGCAATGGGATGGTAGTCATTCAGGCAGGACGCTGGAGATTTCTTCGGCACAGGGACAATGGTGGTGGTCTTGAAGCACGCCGGAGCAATGGCACTGCTTAGAGAGCTGGTCTACACAGTCTCTGAGCACTCAGCCAGGAACATTGTCTGGTCCAGCAGCCTTCAATGGGTTGACTCTGTGCAGAGTTTTTCTCATGTCAGCCGTGAACAAACACACCTGATTGCTGGGTAGTGGGGATGGTCTTTCTCGCTGCCATGTTATTCTGCACTTTAAACAATGCGTAGAAGCATCTGGAAGGGGAGGCATCACTGTCACAGGAGGGTGATGTTTTCCTGTAGTTGCTAAGGGCCTGAATGCCCTGTCACATGTGCTGCGTGTCACCCATATGTAGGAAGTGTCCATGAACTCACTCAGTGTCTGTGCGCTTTGCCTCTCTGATAGTTTGTGACTAAAGGCTGAGTCATGGGCCTTCAGCAGCGTGCACACCTCAGCAGTCATCCACAGCTTCTGAGTTTTTGCATGTGGTGATGGTCCTGGAGACAGTAACATCATCAATGCATTTGCAGATATAGCCAGTCACTGATGCTGTATATTCCTCCAGGTTAACAGAATCATTGTCAGTGGCAGCCTTGAAGAGCAGAGGTGGACACGTTGGAAGTGTTTGTGTGAACAAGGTCCAGTGCGTTCGTCTCATCCCTCTCATTGCAAAGTCCACACATTGATGAAATTTATGAACCACTGACCTGAGATCTGCCTGATTAAAATCTCCAGTGACAATAAACAGCCCAGGGAGGGTGGAGAGGCCAGATTGATGTTGCACACTGAAGTGAAAGTTCTTGAGTACAGGGGACCTGAAGCTTCTTGGTCTTCACCATCCACTGAATGGACACATGATCTATGATGGTGAGAAGCTGAGACAGTACTGGAGCTCACCAGCAGTCCATTACATAGTCCAATAGATAACTAAGAGCGCTTTCACCCTCACCTTGTTTGGCGTGGACCAATCAAACCTTTTCTTTAATTCAGTTCATTTTTGACAGGTGTGAACATTCTTTTCATATTCACCAAACAACTGGACCAGCCTGGCAGAAATCATGGGTCTCGGCCCGCTTCTAATGACCCTGGTGTGGTTCAAATCAAACGAGGTAACTGAACATAAAAACACTTTTTGAGTGCATATCAGAGCTGTACTGTCCACACAATCTGCCTGTTTTAACATTTCACTCTATGCAGACCATCATATCACTGCTGTCGGAAGAAAACCTTGTCATCTCCATTTGTGTGTCAATTTCATGAAGAATGGGCCAAAAGAAACAGCCCAGAACAAAAAAACAGTCTGGCTCCATTGACTTACATTAAAAATAGATAGTAGGTTATAAGTAGGTTTTTCCTTCTCCTGTAAAGTGATTATTTTGGAGATATGGGTTTTTTTTTTTCTGACAACAGCGAAATAGTTCTTGCATCACAAGCTGCTCCCAATAACATCGGATCAAAAAATAATTATTATTTTTTGCATATGGATCGTGGAGCGCAGTTTTGGCCAAGAGTTCTGTTGCGTTATGATGAACTTAGAAGTTAAGCATCTCTGTTTTCTCTTTTTTTTGGTGGTGAATGTGAAAATAGTAGAGTGCTTGCAAAATTTCTGACCAATAAATGAAAACCTAATTGTGTAATTTGGTGCACTTGTGGTGCACAACTGGTGCAGTTTAAGTCTGAACCCAGTGAAGTGGGATCAAAACAAACCCGGACCCTGTTCATTATTAGGCTGGCATGTTATTATCATGACATGAAGTGGAGTAGCAGCATTTTGTCTGTCAGTCAGCTGATTTTTTTTCCACCACTTTTGGAGGTACGGAGCCCCTGTGCATTATTACAAGATAACTATACTAAACACAACATTATGCATCATGCTTTTCTTATTATTACACAGTTTTTGTGATTCTGTAAACGTAAATACACACAAAGCCTCTACAATATCACTACTATATCACTATCACTTATATAATATTCATAAAATACTTTGACAATATAAATGATTCACTTGAAATGTATGCAATGCATCGTTTTATTTTGATTCACAGCATAACATAGGCATTAACAATATTGTAAAGACACTATATTGTATAGAAGCTGTATTGTACATTGTATATAGTATATTGTATAGAAGCTGGAGCACCGAACTCTAATTTGTCTTTATGATGTTATTTTTCTCTGAAGAGATTTTTGTCATAAATTGTTTTATTTCCACAGTTAAACAATCACTGATAATATGATAAAAAGCTGATCAAAAATTGAACTGATACACTGAGTAAAAATGCAAAGCACTGATGGATAAAATCATGTGATGATTAAAGGGGTGTGTAAAGCTTTTAGCTGCTCTGTTTGCTGCATCTGGGCTGTGTTGAAGCTGCAGCTCTGAAATCTAGATTTATTGCAGGTGCTTCTTGCAGAATCTGGCCTTCTTCGTTGTAATCCTGAAAGATGCAAATCAGATTTAATATAGAAACAAACGTTTTCATATGACATAATAAAACAATAAAACAATCTGTCATTGCTGTCAGAATAAAACCTTGTATCTTCATTTTTATTAACATGATTTGAAAACAGCAGCTGTCGTTTACATTGTGCCAAACTTTCTTGATGAATGGACCAATAGAAATGCTCCAAATGTAAAACTTTTAAGTTAGCCCCTTAAAAAGTATTACTTAATAAGTCTTACTATTCAGTAACTACAGGGATGCAAACTGGTTGGGCTATTCTTAGATTATAGAAGTGTGTATTAAAACTTTGGGCCTGCTGGTGGACCCTGGCCATTTAAAGGGTTAAAAAAGTCACACACTACTGTTGTTATTGTAAAGACATTACAAATATTAAAAATCCTTAGTTCTAAAAACAGTAAGTAAAGGTTTTTGGTTGCATTTTTAAGTATGCCCTGTTAATATTTACACATTTTTATAAACTTTTGAGCAGGCTGGGTAGGTTCTGTGTTCTGGGAGTGTGAGTTACCATCACTCAGGTTTATGTCCTTAAGCATAACCACAGGTGAGATTATATAGCAAAGCATTGCTGTACTAGAGTTCTTAAAGGACATATTTCCCCCTGTTGGAAATAAGAGCAATTTTCCTCTCTTGTACTCTGGCTACGAAGTCAATTCTAATGCATTATGGGTACAAAATTGGAAGCCTCATCTGTGTACCCCCTGTGCTACAGTGGTATCAGAATTGGCAAAAGTAGCAGCAATGAGAGGACGATCCCATTGGAGGAGCAAGGGTCTGGTGAGGCACTGACTAGGAAGTACCAGGAGAGATTTGGTCATAAAGAATATGGTGAGGATTACCTATGGGCAGTTCGGAACACCTGTGATATCTTGGCTTGGGATGTGTTCCTGTAAAGTTCCAGCAACAATTACAGCTGGCTAAAACAACATGCCTGCATGAGTCTTTACAGTGGGCGGAAGAGATGGGGGTGATTTTGAGTATGCAGGCTGCACCTGGGTTCATATAACAAAAGGGAGCAAGGCAGTTTCCAGGGTAATATGCCATTTCTGTAAGCACCTGGGGCACCTGAAGGCTCAGTGCCCACAGAGGCAGCAGTCAGCAGGCACCCACACCTTAGGAAAACACCAGGAAGTGGGCACTGAGGAAGATATGGCCACCAGGGAGACAGTTTCCCCCACTAACTGTAAAGTCGGGTGACCCATCAATTTATGGTGCTATGCCTCCTGGATAGCAAAGAGTTAAAGCCCATATTAATTTTTGTAGTTTATGCAAATTTTTGAGCAGCCTGGGTAGGTTCTGCGTTCTGGGAGTGTAAGTTACCATCACTCAGGTGTGTGTCCTCATCCCCAGACGGGAACATGGCTGTGCTAGAGGTTTAAAAGAGTGTAATTCTTTGTTGGAAAATTTCCTTTCTTGTACTCTGGTTGCTGAGTCAATTCTGAATAAAGCTGTGTTATAGGCATGAACTTTGAGGTGTCTAAGCTTCATATGTGTACCCCCAATGCTACAATACAGTTACTCCACTGGCAAAATTATTGTAAAATGCAGAATACAGAATGTATTCATGCACATTTTTGCTGGTTAACATGCCCTATGATAGAATCCACTGCAGCAAAAGTTGTGATGATTTAAACTTTTCAGGCCCTTAATGGATCATTTCAAAACAGTGATCATTTATATTGGGTCACAGATGATGTTAAATTACAGATTTTAAGAGTTAGTCAGTAATCTGTACTGTATATGTGTTTAAAGTAACCCTCTCAACTCTGAACACAGTGAGCTGCTGCTGTACGGGGTTAGAACTGACCTCACTTATCTTTTAGTCAAGTCTCAACTACTGAAATCCAGTAATAAATCAAATTTAATATACAGGCATGTTTGTATCACAATAAGTCAATAACACACACGTAAATCTTCAAATGTTAGATACTCACACATAGCCGGGCTTTGGGCAGTCGGAATGTGTTTTTTCCACTTTTATGATATTTTGTTCTGGAATTTTAAAAGTGACAAAGTTGAAACAGCACAGTTGAGGATGGCCAGGGGCAAAAGCTGATGAAGAGAGAGGAAGAAAACATGCTTAGTTTATGTTCTTCATTACTGTAAAAACCAACACACCTTCATAAACTCTACTACAGCCACACCTGAACACAAAGCACATGTTAAATACAGACTGTTCAGGGTTAAATGACTGTGCCCAAACATCAAAATCTGACTTTTTTTAATGAAACATCCAGAACTGCCTTTTTTGTATATTCAGGATGAGGTGCAATACTACAACATTACTACTACTACTACTACTAATAATAATAATAAGGTCATTCATAGCACTAGTAGAAGTACATAATATTATTGGTGTTAGTTTTATGAATATAAACAATAGTTAATATAAATATAAATACTTTAATATGTTTAATTGTGTTATGTAGAAATAAGTTAACACATCCTCTACAGAGAACACACACACACACACACACACACACACACACACACATATATATATACATATATATATATATATATATATATATATATATATATATATATATATATATATGATGTGGGGCAATAATAATAATAATAATAATCATCATCATCATCATCATCATCATTAATAATTAATCATTAATCATTAATAATTCATATTTATAGTACTAGTAGCAGTGCTTTTTATGATTAGTAGTAGTTTTATTAATATAAGCAACAATTAACATGAGTAATGTTTTAATCATGTTATGCAAAATAAGTTAACACATCCTCTACAGAGGACACACTTCTGCAGATTTTAATACACAATCACTGTATATTTACTGTTTAAGAATATACACTGTGGCCTGTTATGGCACATATTGTATACATTCAACTTAGAAATTATTCACTACAATTAGCAGGAAAATGTCATATTTAAGTGCGTTCTCTGTAGAGGATGTGTGAACTTGTTTTCACTTAGAAAACCAACAAAACGTGTGTTCAAACGTCTGCACAAGACTGTTAGACATCTGTTTGCAAAGACAGAAAATGTGTTAAGATGTTATAAACTCACGCTGAGCATCTGAGGAGACGGTCATCAGCAGGACCAGCCCCAGCACCAAACACACACAGTTCATCTTCATTTCCATCTTCTCTGCAGGCGTGTGAAGCTCTGAATGATTCTCTCTCTGTCTGTACTTCCAGTTTGAGCTGGTAAGGCTCTGTATATAAAGTAGTTTATTAAAAGCAGGCAGTTCTGCCCCCCACTGTCTCCACCACTCACCACATCTTCCTCTCAGAGTGCAGAGCAGAAGCTCTAGTGTGAAAATGACCCATGACAGCAGCTCTGGTGTATCTGATAAATGCCGTGCATGAGTCTGCAGACAGTCAGTGAAGGCCTGTGACTCAGTCTGTTTATGAAGTAACTGATAACAATACACTTGCACATATGCATCACAGCTAATTTGATGCAGAAGTGACAAGGTGTTGTAGAGAACTACATTCAAGTTCAACAAAGGACTAAAAGCTACAGAGAAAATGTGGCTCCAAACAATCATCTGGAAGACCTGGTAGACACCAAAACTGCCCCCATCAGATAAACAGCACTTAAAGCTTTCATCTCTGAGAGAGAGGAGAAAATCAAGCTGCTTCAGATCTGAAAACATTCACAGGAGTTTCTGTCCATCCTTCCACTATGAGGAGACGACTCAGCGCTATGGGTCTGAAAGGATGTGCAAGTGAAAAAGAAAATAGAACAGAAAATGCTAAACTAGGGGTATTTAATTAAAATTCACTAAGGTCCAGTTAGAGAAAATTTTCTCAAGCAAAGGTCCAGAACATCATAATGTCTAACTTGCATCATGACTCAGTGCCATATACTGTAAACTGAAGTAGCCTAGTAGTTATATCAACATCTTATACAGTCAACAACTGAATGTTGAATGAAATAAAGTACAGTTCAGTCATATTTAAACAACATTTATTGTCAGTTTTCTCTTTTTAGATCACGACATGTGAAATAACTTCCGACTGCTGTTTCTCGCCTCGTCCCTCCACTGTCTGTGCATCACTCACTCGAGTCTCAGTGCTCATAGTAATGCACAGATCTGATTGGCTGAGTAGCGTCATGTGTGATATTTACAACACATGCGATTGGTCTGTGAGTCTCCCGGGCTGCTAAAGCTGCCATAAAGGCTAGAAAAGTTACGCCGATTAAAAGAGGACCACCCCATCAAAATTAAACAATTCTCCATAGTTTATCAGTTTTAGGTCCAGGTCTGCATAGAACAGCGTCTGTCTCGGACCGCGGTCGCCTATTAGTGACCTCTGTGCTAAACCAACTAAGACTGAACTTTGGAGGTGTGTCTGCAGATTTCTTTGAAAAACAGAAAGTGAGTCTCCTGTAAAGAATGGAAGCTGGAATAAAGGTGAAGTGTGACTCAATAAATAGTAAAAAATGTGATATTATATTTAGTTGTTAAGATTTCTTGGAATATATCATTACAGGACCTGGACCACAGGCAAAGTGCAATATACTGGGGGGTCAGTATGCAACAAAATCAACCTTTTGAAACCACTGAAAGCATCAAAAACACAATTTTGGAGGAAAGCTTAAAAGAAACTTAAAAGACATGATAGAGAAAAGCAGTGCATTGCAATGTTGAGCAGAAGTCAGCATGTGCAAGGTTATATGGGCCGCAGGCACGACATTCTAGAGTTCAAATTTTCAAGAGGTTTTATTGTCATTTCAGCTATAAGTACACAGTAAAACGAAACAACATTCCTCCAGGACCAACACAGGAACACAAGTTCAAAACAATACAATAAATGCACAATACTTACAATAAATATAAAAGACTTACAATAAATATAAAACAGAACACAGGCAGTAATCAAGGCAGTAAAACAGCTGCTCAGGATGCTCTCTATAGTGCCTCGGTAGAAGGTGGTAAGGATGGTGGGTGGGAGATGAGCTCTCCTTAACTACTGCAGGAAATAGAGACGCTGCTGGGCTTTCTTGGTTATGAAGCTGGTGTTGAGGGTCCAGGTGAGGTTCTCCGCTAGGTGAACACCAAGGAACTTGGTGCTTGCAACGATCTCCACAGGGGAGTTGTAGATGGTGAGTGGAGAGTGGTCACTCTGTGCTCTCCTGAAGTCAACAACAATCTCCTTTTTTTTGTCCACATTCAGATGTAGGTTGTTGACTTTGCATCAGTCCGTAAGGTGCCGCACTTCCTCTCTGTATGCTGACTCATCATTCTTGCTGATGAGACCAACCACAGCAGAGTCATCGGCAATTCTTATGATGTGGTTTGAGCTGTGAGCTGCTGCACAGTCGTGAGACAGCAAAGTGAACAGCAGTGGACTGAGCACACTGCCCTGGGGGGATCCAGTGCTCAGTGTGATTGTGTTAGTAAGAAAGTCCAGGATCCAATTGCAGAGGGAAGTGTTCAGGCCCAGCAGGCTCAGCTTTCTAATCAGATGCTGAGGAATCATGGTACTGAATGCTGAGCTGAGTCTATGAACAGCATCCTGACATAAGTGTCCTTTTTCTCAAGAAGAGTAAGAGCCAGATGAAGAGTGGTGGCTATGGCGTCATCTGTAGAGCAGTTGGAGCAATTTGTGAACTGCAGAAGGTCCTGTGATGGAGGCAGCTGGGTCTTGATGTGCCTCATTATGAGCTTCTTGAAGCACTTTGGGTGCGCTTTGCCTCTCTGATAGTTTGTGACAGTTTGGCCCTCTCTCTTCTTAGGGCCGCTCTAAAGGCTGAGTCATGGGCCTTCAGCAGCGCTGTGCACCTCAGCAGTCATCCATAACTTCCGAATTTTTCATGTGGTGATGGTCTTGCAGACAGTAACATCATTAATGCACTTGCTGATGTAGCCAATCACTGATGCTGTATATTTTTCCAGGTTAACAGAATCACTGTCAGTGGCAGCCTCCCTAAACACATCCCACGCCGTTTGTTCAAAACAGTCTTGAACAGGCTCCCTATTCAATAGGTGCAACCATCTAAGTGTTGGTCCTGTAATCAGGAGATCGCAAGTTCAATCCCTGGTGATACTACAGCCATCCATGGCCAGGAGTCCAAGAGAGCACAACTGGCCTCGTGTGCCGGCTCTTGTTTACACAAACATCCCTGGCGTGTACAGGGCCGAGCCCCACCCCACTACGGTTACTCCGACCACATCTCTGTGATGCTCATTGCAGCATACAGACCATTCATCAGACGTGCCAAACTGGACCAGAAGCAAATAAGAACCTGGCCATCAGGAGCTATCTCTGCTCTTCAGGACTGTTTTGAGCACATTGATTGGGAGATATTCAGAGAAGCAGCAACTTCCAGTGACTCCATCAACCTAGAGGAGTATACAGAATCAGTGACTGGCTACATCAGCAAGAGCATTGATGATGTTACTGTCTCCAAACTAATCACAACACACCTCAACCAGAAGCCATAGATGACTGCAGAGGTGCGCATGCTGCTGAGAACTCGCGATAAGGCCTTCAAGTCAGGGACAGAACAGCAAGAGCCAAGCTTTCCCGGGCCATCAGAGAGGCAAAGCACGCCACACAAAGAAAATTCATGAACACTTTCAAGACACTGCTGACACACAGCGCATGTGGCAGGGCATCCAGGCCATCACCAACTACAAGAAACCTCCACCTGCTTGTGACAGTGATGACTCCTTTCCAAATGCTCTGAATAACTTCTATGCTCGGTTTGAAGCACAGAACGGCATGACAGCGAGGAAGACCACACCTCCTCCAAATTAACAGGTACTGTGTCTGTCCACTGCTGATGTGCAGAGAACTCTACACAGAGTCAACCCCTCGAAAAGCCCCAGGATCAGAAAGCATACCGGGCAGAGTGGTCAAAGAAAGCGCTGAACAGCTGGCTGTTGTTCTCACAGAGATCTTCAACATCTCTGAGCACTGCAGTCGTTCCAACATGCTTCAAGTCCACCACCATCATCCCTGTGCCAAAGAAGTCTCCAGTGTCCTGCCTCAATGAATACCGTCCCGTTGCACTCACTCCCATCATCATGAAGTGCTTCGAGAAGCTTCTCATGAGGCACATTAAAGACAAGCTCCCCCCTTCACTGGACCCACTGCAATTTGCGTATCGCCCCAACCGCTCCACAGACGGCGCCATCTCCACCACACTCCACCTGGTTCTTACCCACCTGGACAACAGAGACACCTATGTCAGAATGCTGTTCGTAGACTTTAGTTCAGCAATTAAAAACCATCATTCCTCAGCAGCTGATTGAAAAACTGAGCCTGCTGGGCCTGAACACCTCCCTGGGTCCTGGATTTCCTGACGGAGAGACCTCAATTAATCAGCATTGGTAATAACATCTCCAGCACCACCATACTGAGCACTCAGGGCTGTGTGCTCAGTCCACTGCTGTTCACTCTGCTGACTCACGAATGTACTGCAAAGTACAGCTCAAACCACATCATCAAGTTTGCTGATGACACGACTGTGGTGGGTCTGATCAACAAGAATGATAAGTCAGCATAGAGAGAGGAGGTGCAGTGGCTAATGGGCTGGTGCAGAACTAACAACCTGTCTCAGAATGTGGACAAAACTAAGGAGAAGGTTGTTGACTTGAAGAGTGTGAGGTGTCCACCCCCCACTGAACATCACTGGCTCTGCTGTGGAAATCATCAGGAGCACCAAGTTCCTCGGTGTCCACATCACAGAGAACCTCACCTGCTCCCTCAACACCAACTCTATAGCCAAGAGAACCCAGCAGCGCCTCTACTTCCTGCGGAGACTGTGCCATCACTGCCAGACTCTGCAACAGCTTTGTTCCGCAAGCAATCATGTTTTTAAACTCACAAGGACTTAACTGAAAACCCCCTCATACACATACATGACATGCATTACACTCACACACTCACACACACACACACACACACACACACACACACACACTCCTCTTTTTAATGCTCTACTTGCTCTGGAACATTGCTGGTAACACTGTTTTACTCAAGTACTGTATATCCTACCTCAGTAACTGTTGCACTCACGTATGTCATAATCTGACTGCGTATACTCACATATCACAGCATGCTAAATAGTGGCGCTTCACAGGTCTTGGAGGAAGCCTCTGCTAGCCTTTGCCCTCCTAGCGCTGGTAGTATTGTGTGATTGGGGGAGTCCTAACTAGCTGGTGGAAGTGGAGACAACCAAATTGGGGAAAAATGATTAAAATCTCCAATGACAATAAACAGTCCAGGGAGGGGTGAAGAGGGCAGACTGGTGTTGCACACTAAAGTGAAAGTTCTTGAGTGCAGGAGACCTGAAGCTTCTTGGTCTTCATCATCCACTGAATGAACACATGATCTATGATGAAGGTGAGAAGCTGAGACAGTACTGGAGATCCAACAGTCCATTAGATAGAGAGAGCTTCTCTATATACAACAACATATTTCTGTCTGGATAGAGAAGCTCTCACTATCAGATGGACTGTTGATGAGCTCCAGGACTGTCTCAGCTTCTCACCTTCATCAGGTCCTGAACTCAAGAACTTTCCCTTCAGTGTGTAACATCAGTCTCTCCACGGTTATGTTAATGGTCTCTCTCAGCTAAACTCCATGTGGTTAATTAACAGCCAGACCTAACTTTTCAGAATACAACCAACCACTATGTAAGTTCTGATCACTGGATCTAGTTGACAGAACCAGAAACCTCCGTTTCAGCTGGGAGGTGGGACATTACTCAAACAGTAAAACCTTGCTGAGTTGGTGTTCAGTGAGAGGAGCTGCAGCTCACTAATCCAGTAAAAATGCTTTTACTGCAATACACAAACGAACCCACTCAGTCATAGTTTATGTTACTACACCATGTGATGTTATTAAATGTGTGTTTAAATATTTTTTATTATTTATATTATTATTTCACACTGACCTTGTTTGGTGCGGATCTATCAAACCTTTTCTTTAGTTCAGTTCATTTTTGACAGGTGTGAACATTCTTTTCATATTCACCAAACAACTGGACCAGTCTGGCAGAAATCGCAGGTCTCGGCCCGCTTCTAATGACCCTGGTGTGGTTCAAATCAAACGAGATAGCTGAACACACTTTTTTGAGTGCATATCAGAGCTGTACTGTTCACTTAATCTGCCTGCTTTAACATTTCACTCTATGCAGACCATCATATCGCTGCTGACGGAAGAAAACCTTGTTATCTCCATTTTTGTCACTTTTCATGAATTTCAAGAGGTCTGGTTCCACTGACTTACATTAAAAGTAAAGTAGGTTTTTTCCTTCTCCTGTAAAGTTACCATTTTGGAGATACAAGGTTTTCTTCCAACAACAGGGATATTGTTCTTGCATCACAAGCTGCTCCCAATAACATCGGATCAGCAAATAAATGCTTTTGATTTTTGCATATGGATCGTGGCCAATTTAATGCAATTCTGTTGCATTATGACGAACTTAGAAGTGAAGCATCTGTTTTTCTCTGTTTTCATGGTGGTGAACGTCAGCGCTTGCAAAATTTCTGACCAATAACTGAAAACCCACATGTGTAATTTGGTCAACCCAGTTAAGTGCAGGATCAAAATAAACGCTGACCCTGTTCATTAATAGGCTGGCATGTAATTGTCATGACATGAAGTGGAGTAGCAGCATTTTGTCTCTCAACCAGCTGCTTTTTTATTGATTGTTTTTTTTGGAAACAATAAGTTTCGTCCCACCACTTTTGGAGGTGTGGAGCCAATCCTGTGCATTTTTACAAGATGAATATACCAAACATTACGTTATGTATTATGCTTATCTCAATATTACACACTGATTCTGTAAACGTAAATGAACACACAGCCTCTACAGTATCACTACTATATCACTATTGCTGCATCACTCTCTTATATAATATCCATGAAGTACAAATAATTCACTTGAAATGTTTGCAACGCATTGTTTTATTTTGATTCACAGCATAAAATAAGCATTAAAAATATTGTAAAACCACAATACATTGTATATTGTATAGAAGCTTTATTATATATTGTATACTGTATAGAAGCTGGAGCACTGAAATCTAATTTGTCTTTATGATGTTACTTTTCTCTGCAGAGATTTTTGTCATACATTGTTTTATTTCCACAGAGTTAAACAAGCACTGATAAGCCGAGGAAAAAGGAAAGCACTGATTGATAAAATCATGTGATGATTAAAGGGTTGTGTAAAGCTTCTAGCTGCTCTGTGTGCTGCGTCTGGGCTGTGTTGAAGCTGCAGCTCTGAAATTAGTTATTGTTCAGGATTATTTCCTTTATGCAGAACCTCTTGTTCATCTTCGTTGTGACCCTGAAAGATACAAACCAGATTTAATATAGAAACAAATGTTTTCATATGACATAATAAAACAGTTCAACCTATCATTGCTGTCGGAACAAAACCTTGTATCATCATTTTTTATTAGCATGATTTGGAAGCAGCAGCTGTGCCAAACTTTCATAATGAATGGACCAATAGAAATACTAAATGTAAAACTTCAAGTTAACTCCTTAAAATCTCAGGCTTGTTTCTTACTAAAGCTTATTACTATTCAGTAACTACAGGGATGCAAATTCTTAGGTTATAGTGTGATAAAAGTGTGTCATAAAACTTTGGGCCTGCCATTTAAGCGGTTAACGAAAATTCACAAACTACTTTCGTCGTTGCAAAGGCCATACAATTTTTTTTTTTTTAATTTGTTGGAAAATACTGTGGTGTCAGAGCACGCCTGGCTTAACATGATGCTTTGTTCATGCTTAGCTGGGCTGTATTTAGTTCTAAAAACAGTAAATAAATGTTTTCAGTGCAATTTTAAGTACGCCATATTAATGTTTACAGGTTTTGTGAACTTTTGAGCAGGCTGGGTAGGTTCTGTGTTCTAGGAGTGTGAGTTACCATCACCCAGGTTTATGTCATTATTCATAAACCCAGACAAGATTCTATAGAAAAATACTGCTATGCCAGAGTTCTTAAAGAACATATATTACCCTGTTAGAAATAAGAGCAATTTCCCTCTCTTGTACTCTGGCTGGCAAGTCAAATCCAAATGAAGATGCTTTATGGGCATGATTTTGGAGCTTCATCTGTGTATTCCCTATGCTACATTGGTGTCAGAATTGGTGAAAGAAGTGGTGAGGAGAGGATAATCCCATTAGAGGAGCAAGGGTCTGAGTAGGGAGCACCGAGAGGGGTCTGGAGCAGCAGAGGGAGCCGAAGCTGGCAGAGGATAGGAAGACACTGTGAAGAACCAGAGCCAGCCTGGGGAGGCAGTTTGGTGAGTGAGTGTTGCCCAAGCACGCGAGACAGAAATGCCATCAGAGGGAGTGCTAACATGGAGAAGAGCTGTGTCCACTTGCCACAGGCTTAGAGAATATTATTGGGATTGCCTATGAGGAGTTTGCAGCAGCTGGTTGTGATATGTTGGCTTCGAATTTGTTTCCTGTAAGGCTCCAGCAACAATAAGACAACTTTTGTGCAGGAGGCTTTACAGTGGGCAGAAGAGATGGGGGACGATTTTGAGAATGCAGGCTGCAGCGGGGTTAATACAGCAGTGGGGGCAGAGAGCCTGTGACAACGAGAGGGAGTGAGGCAATTTCCACAATTTCTCTTAATAACAGTGGAGTTGGGTGACCCAGCAGCTTATGGTGCTCTGTCAGTTGGATAGTTAAATCCCACAACAATGTTTATAGGTTATGCAAATTTTTGAGCAGGTTGGGTAGATTCTGTGTTCTGGCAGTGTAAGTTACCATCACCCAGGTTTGTGTCCTTATTTATAACCCCAGATGGGATTCTGTAGCAGAACACAGCTGTGTTAGAGGTTTAAGAGAGTTTATTTCCTTGCTGGAAATTTTTCTTTCTGGTACTCTGGCTGCCAATCAATTCTAAATAAAGCTGTATTATTGGCACAAATTGTGAGGTGTCTAAGCTTCATCTGTGTATCCCCATGCCACAATACAGTTACTCCTTCTGGTTAAATTATTATAAAATGCCTCGCTAACTAGCTCTTAAAGGTATCAGTTAAATAGCTAGCATGAGTGTAGAATATAGTCCCACTGTAAAGCTGCTGCAAGGCTAAAAGGATTTTCAGGTTCAGGTTAAATTCAAGTTTGTGTTCAGAATCGTCTGGGGAATCATTTCAGGTTGGGTTAGTTTGACAAAATTTCCAGTAAGAACTGAGCTGTTAGGTTTAAAAGAGCTTTCTATGTTCTTACACACTAGACAAAGCCAGAATCGAGCGGTAGACACAAATGCAAGCAGATCTTGTCAGTCTAGGCAGCGTGCGCTCAGCTGAAGCAAAAGGGGTTTCTATAGTTTCAAATTCAGGCAAGCATATCAGAGTTCTTTGCCCTTTCATGCAGCTTTTCCCTGGATAAGGTGCCCTACGTCAGAATCCATTGCAGCAAAAATTGATTTTTGAAATGATTTGAACTTTTTGGACCCTCAGCGTATCACTTTAATGCAGTGATCATTTAGATTAGGTTGCAGATGATGTTATATGACAGTTTTTTAAGAGTAGTTATTAATCTGTACTGGTATATGTGTTTAAAGTAACCCTCCCAACCCTGAACACAGTGAGCTGCTGCTGTACGGGGTTAGAGCTGACCTCGTTTATCTTACAGTCAATAGAGTCTCATCTACTGATATTCAGTAATAAATCAGATCTAATATACAGACAAAAGTGTTTATATCACAATAAAGCAATAACTCAAATATATATCTTCTAAAGTTAGATACTCACACATAGCCCTGCTTTGGGCAGTTGGAATTTGTCGGTTCAACTTTTTCTATGTTTTCTTTTGGAACTTTAAAATGGACGAAGTTGAAACAGCACAGATCAGGATGGGCATTGGACTGCGCTGATGAAGAAGAGAAGAAAACATTTTTAGTTTGTGTTTTTATTACTGTAAACACCAACACTCCTTCATCAGCTCAGGTTATTTGTAGTACTAATAAAAGGACATAATATTATCAGTAGTAGTTCTATGAATATAAGCAATAGTTAATATAAATACTTTAGTATTTTTAATGCACAATTATTGTTTGTTTACTTATGTGTATTATACTTTTGTGTGTGTGTGTGTGTGTGTGTGTGTGTGTGTGTGTGTGGCACATATTACGTAAGTTATTATGTCCTAGAATTAGCAGAAAAAATGCCCTATTTAATAAGTATGTTCTGTGTAGAAGATGCTATAATTTATTTTCATTTTTAAAAATCAACAAACCCTAAGCAGAGAGTTCAAAAATCTGCATAAGACTGTAAGACAGTATCTGTTTTAAAAGCTAGAAAAAGTGTTTAGATGTTAAAAACTTACTAGCATCTGAGGAGATGGTCATCAGCAGGACCAGCCCCAGCACCAAACACACACAGCTCATCTTCATCTCCATCTTCTCTGCAGGCGTCTGAAGCTCTGAATGTTTCTCTCTCCGTCTGTATCTCCAGTTTGAGCTGGTAAGGCTCTATTTAAATGAGCTTATTTTCAAACACTTAAAAGCAGGCAGTTCTGCCCCCCACCACCCCCACCACTCACCACATCTTCCTCTCAGAGCGCAGAGCAGAAGCTCTTGTGTGAAAATGACCCATGATAGCAGCTCTGGTGTATCTGATAAATTCCATGCATGAGTCTGCAGACAGTCAGTGAAGGTTCCTGGTCTGTTCATAAAGTAACCGATAACAATACATTTCCATCACAGCTAATTTGATGCAGAAGCGAAAAGGTGTTGTAGAGAACTACACAAACGGCTTTTCATCTTTTTAAAAAAATCTTCCTATTTGGCTTCTGTAAAGTTGTAAAATGCATTAATTTCTCTTTTAAGTAAAAAGTTTTCAAAACTGGAGTTCAAAATGGACTAAAAGCTACAGAGAAAATGTGACTCCTAACAACCACCTGGAAAACTTGGTAGACACCAAAACTGCCCCCATCAGATAAACAGCACTTAAAGCTTTCATCTTTGAGAGAGGAGAAAATCAAGCTGCTTCAGATCTGAAAACATCCACAGGTGTTTCTGTCCATCCTTCCACTGTGAGAAGACGACTCAGCGCTGTGGGTCTGAAAGGACGTGTAGCTGTCCAGAAGCCCTTGATGGAAAATGGAAATAGACCAAAAAGAAAAATATTTTCAATCTAACACCAAAACTGATCATCTGAGATGTGGAGTAAAGTTTTGTAATTGAGATTGCAGCTGGATGATGAGAGGCAGAAAATGCAAAACCAACTTCTAAGACTGAACTTTGGAGGTGTGGCTGCAGATTTCTTTGAATAGCTGAAAATGAGTCTCCTGAAAAGAAGCTGGAATAAAGGTGCAGGAAGAACACATTAAATACTGAAAACAATTATATAGGGTATCCCCCCGATACTGGCTGGTGCCGGCTCTGAGAGACTTTAGAGGCTTGGTTAGACAGAAGGCCACACACCAAGGTTCGTGGTATGTATACGCCCTCTGATAAAGGTACTTTTTGTGTTGTATAGTGTTTTTGCTGTTAGTTTAAGTTGTGTGTATGTGTTGTATGATGTTATGTGCCAAGGGATGTGGGTATTGCGAGGAGAAGTGTGTGGGTAGTGGTGACCTTTCCTGCAGTTTTGGTGTTCTGTATGTGCCTTTCTTCTGATATGTTTAATAAAGAGCAGTATCACTGTAGAATCATGGTCATCCTTGGTCATTTCTTTCTTTGTGAACACTACACTGGTGTCAGAACTGGGGTCAGTCCCCAGCAGCTTGGAAAGGAACAGAAATCTCAGTGCTGAGATGGTGAAGAAGACCGAACCCAGTCGAGGACTGAGAGGAGAAGCAGCATGGCAAAGACTGGTGGCGAGAAGATGCCGGTTGAGGAAGCACAACAAGGAGGAGGCTGACGCAGCATGGCTGGAGGACGGAATTGGCTTGGGAAGGCCCATAGACAGGGCCAGCAAGAGGAGTTTTGATGACAAAGCCTGTGAGGCACAGTGAGGCACAACGGCAGCGTGGTTGTCAAGGCCGAGTGTTTGAACTCCAGCATACACAAGCAGCTTTGAGCCTTACCCAAATAACATTCCCCACAGCTCATCGTAGAACAGCACAAACCACACATATACACATCCCCAAACCCACAACAACAACTAGTCAACAAATAATTCTCTCTTACCGCTCCCATGGTGGTATTCATGGTGCTCCACACACGCCACCGAACCCATGCCTCCCGCATGTCCATGGTCAAATGAACTGGTAGCAGGACATTACTTTGCCCCCCATTCAATGGTCAACCATCTTATTGACCTTTGTCCAGACAGAGTCCGCACAAAGTTTGAGCAAAGAATTCCTGCAGTTACTGCACAGAAAGGGGTACAGAGTGTTCACTGTCACTGCAAATGCACACCACACTCATGGCCACCCCTGTTATCACTCCTATCTCAGGGTCGCGTTCTCCTCACTGGGGCGCTGGAGCACACAACGAGGTTGCATTCCCCTTGCTGCTTCCTGTGGCCAATCTCTGCTTTCTCTGTCACCTATGGCACTACAGACGCCAATGAGGCTGCTACTTGTGCACGCTGGAGCTCTGACACTTGGCCTTGACCAACTACACCATCACACAGCCTCAACCTGCCACCTCTGGCCTCCAGCCTCACCGTCAAGCTTCCTAGCACGGCCTCTAGCCCTGCCACTCCAGCTCTGGCGTCAGGCCTCCTCCTGCCAGCCATCATTCAGACATCATCGCCAGCAGGTTCTTGCAGGGATTTGTCTTTATATTTATTTAAATATAAAAGACTTACAATAAATATAAAACAGAACACAGGCAGTAATCAAGGCAGTAATGCAGCTGCTGAGGATGCTCTCTATAGTGCCTCGGTAGAAGGTGGTAAGGATGGTGGGTGGGAGATGAGCTCTCCTTAACTGCTGCAGGAAATAGAGACGCTGCTGGGCTTTCTTGGTTATGAAGCTGGTGTTGAGGGTCCAGGTGAGGTTCTCTGCTAGGTGAACACCAAAAAACTTGGTGCTTGCAACGATCTCCACAGGGGAGTTGTAGATGGTGAGTGGAGAGTGGTCACTCTGTGCTCTCCTGAAGTCAACAACCATCTCCTTTGTTTTGTCCACATTCAGATGTAGGTTGTTGACTTTGCACCAGTACGTAAGGCGCCGCACCTTCTCTCTGTATGCTGACTCATCATTCTTGCTGATAAGACCAACCACAGCAGTATCATCAGCAATTTTTATGGTGTGGTTTGAGCTGTGAGCTGCTGCACAGTCGTGAGTCAGCAAAGTGAACAGCAGTGGACTGAGCACACTGCCCTGGGGGGATCCAGTGCTCAGTGTAATGGTGTTAGTGAGAAAGTCCAGGATCCAATTGCAGAGGGAAGTGTTCAGGCCCAGCAGGCTCAGCTTTCCAATCAGATTCTGAGGAATTATGGTACTGAATGCTGAACTGAGTCTATGAACAGCATCCTGACATAAGTGTGCTTTTTCTCAAGAAGAGTAAGAGCCAGATGAAGAGTAGTGGCTATGGCGTCATCTGTAGAGCAGTTGGAGCAATTTGTGAACTGCAGAGGGTCCAGTGATGGAGGCAGCTGGGTCTTGATGTGCCTCATTATGAGCTGCTCGAAGCACTTTGTGATAATGGGTGTGAGCGCAATGGGATGGTAGTCATTGAGGCAAGCCTCTGGAGATTTCTTCGGCACAGGGACAATGGTGGTGGCCTTGAAGCGCACTGGAGCAATGGTGATGCTTAGAGAGATGATGAAGATGTCTGTCAGAACATCCGCTAGCTGGTCCGCACAGTCTCTGAACACTCGGCCAGGAACATTGTCTGGTCCAGCAGCCTTCCATGGGTTGACTCTGTGCAGAGTTTTTCTCATGTCAGCCATGGACAGACACAGTACCTGTGTCTTTCTCGCTGCCACATTATTTTGCGCTTCGAACCGTGCATAGAAGCATCTGGAAGGGAGGCATCACTGTCACAGGAGGGTGATATTTTTCTGTAGTTGCTAAAGACCTTGAATACCCTGTCACAGGCGCCGCGTGTTGCCGGTATTTAGGAAGTGTCAGTGAATTCTCTGAGCGTGTGCGCTTTGCCTCTCTGATAGTTTGTGACAGTTTGGCCCTCTCTCTTCTTAGGGCCGCTCTAAAGGCTGAGTCATGGGCCTTCAGCAGTGTGTGTCATCCATGACTTCTGAGTTTTTCATGTGGTGATGGTCTTGCAGGCAGTAACATCATCAATGCACTTGCTGATGTAGCCAATCACTGATGCTGTATATTCTTCCAAGTTAACAGAATCACTGTCAGAGGCAGCCTCCCTAAACACATCCCATGCAGTTTGCTCAAAACAGTCTTGAACAGGCTCCCTATTCAATAGGTGCAACCATCTAAGTGTGGTTCCGGTAATCAGGAGATCGCAAGTTCAATCCCTGGTGATGCTACAGCTGTCCGTGGCCGTGAGTCCAAGAAAGCACAATTGGCCTTGTTCTCTGGGTGGGTAGGAGGGCCCCCCTTCTCCCCCCATCACTCAGTGCAATGCCAATCAGTGCAGGCGTCTGTTAGCTGACGGAACAGATTTGGTGGTTAGTGTTCTACTCCAAGTGCGTTCGGCTGTCCAATGACATTGCGTGGCGCGGTGGCGCGGTGGCGGTGGCGGTGCAGTGGCGCTGTAGACACATGCGGTGGTGCCGGCCTATAGACACAAAACTGAAAAAAATCTAGTTGACAGAACCAATTAAAATCTCCTTTTCAGCTGGGAGGCGAGGCATTCCTCAGACAGTAAAACCTTGGTCAGTTGGTGTGCAGTGAGAGGAGCTGCAGCTCACTAATCCAGTAAAAATGCTTTTACTGTGATACACTAATTAATGCACTCAGTTACAGTTTATGTTACTGCACCATTTGATATTTCTGAGTGTCTGTTTAAATGTTTCTTAAGTCTTGGAGGAAGCCTGTGCTGGAATTTTGCCCTCCTAGCGCTGATAGTATCGTGTGATTGGGGGAGTCCTAACTAGCAGGTAAAATTGGAGACCAAATTGGGGAGAAAATTGGGGAAAAATCAAAAAAGAAAAAAACAATCTTGAAGAACAGAGATGGCTCCTGCTGGCCAGGTTTTCACCTGCTTCTGTATGGGGGGATCAGCATTACACAAACGTGATCTGAGTAGCCGAGGTGGGGGCGGGGCTCCACCCGGTACTCTTCGAACAAGGTCCAGCATGTTTCACCCCTCTGTTGCAGTCCACATAATGATGGAATTTAGGCAACACTGACCTGAGATATCCATGATTAAAATCTCCAGCAACAATAAACAGTCTGGGGAGGGGTGGAGAGGTCAGATTGATGTTGCACACTAAAGTGAAAGCTCTTGAGTGCAGGAGACCTGAAGCTTCTTGGTCTTCACCAACCACTGAATATACAGATGATCTATGATGAACTTGAAAAGCTGAGACAGTACTGGAGCTCATCAACAGTCCATTAGATAGTGAGAGCTTCTCTATATACAACAACATATTTCTGTCTGGATAGAGAAGCTTCACTATCAGATGGACTGTTGATGAGCTCCAGTTCTGTCTCAGCTTCTCACCTTCATCAGGTCCTGCACTCAAGAACTTTCCCTTCAGTGTGTAACATCAGTCTCTCCACGGTAATGTTGATGGTCTCTCTCAGCTAAACGCTGTCTGGTTGAGTAACAACCAGACCTCACTGTTTTATGTAAAACCCACCACTGTTTGAGCTCTGGACACTTACAGACCGCTGGCCTATAGACACAAAACTGAAAAAAATCTAGTTGACAGAACCAATTAAAATCGCCTTTTCAGCTGGGAGGCGAGGCGTTCATCAGACAGTAAAACCTTGGTCAGTTGCTGTTCAGTGAGAGGAGCTGCAGCTCACTAATCCAGTAAAAATGCTTTTACTGTGATGCACTAATTAATGCACTCAGTTACAGTTTATGTTACTGCACCATTTGATATTTTTGAGTTTCTGTTTAAATGTTTCTTAAGTCACACCCACTTTGTTTGGTGCAGACCTATCAAACCTTTTCTTTTGTTCAGTCCATTTTGACAGGTCTGAACACTCCGTATTCACCAAGCAACTGAACTAGTCTGGCAGACATGGCAGGTCTCGGTCAGCTTCCAGTGACCCCTGTGTGGTCCAAATCAAACGAGATAACTGAGCATAAGAACACCCTTTTCTCATTCGCATATCAGAGCTGTACTGTCCACATAATCTGCCTATTTTAACATTTCACTCTATACAGACACTCATATTCTGTGCACAAGCATAATTTGCTGCCAATAACATCAGATCAATAAAAAAATAATAACAAATGAATGCTTTTGATTTTTCTGCATGTGGATCACAGAATGCAGTTTTGGCCATGAATCTTGTTGCTTTATGATAAACTTAGATGTTAAACATATCTTCTTTCTGTTTTTTTTATTCATGGTGGTGAATGTGAGAATAACAGAGCGCATGCAAAATCTCTAAGCGTTAAGTGAAAACCCACATGCACTTTAGCCGGTGCAGTGTGAAACCAACCCAACCAAATGAAAAAGAGTGTCAGAAATAACCCAGAGTCTGGTGAGAACTTTAAAAAACCAAAACAGCCTGAAGTTCTTCAGAGATGTTAACTAGCAAAGCTTGAGGCTGTTCATGAATAGGCTGGCCTGTTATTAGCATGACATGGAGTGGACAAGCTGCAGTTTGTCTCTCAACCAGCTGAGGTGTGAGGTTTGTTAGTAATTTTGCCCCACCACTTCTGGAAGTGTGGCACCACCCCTGTGGTTCTGCAAACGTAAATACACACAGGGCCTCTCCAGTATCACTACTATATCACTATCACTGCATCACTCATACAGAGAATATCCATGTAATACTGTGACAATATAAATAATTCAGTTGAAATTTATGCAATGCATTGTTTTATTTTGAATTCACAGCATAACATAAGCATTAAAAATACTGTAAAGAAGCAATACATTGGTTATTGTATAGAAGCTGGAGCACTGAAATCTAATTTGTGTTCATGATGTTATTTTTCTCTGCAGAGATTTTTGTAATAAACTGTTTGATTTCCACAGTTAAACAAGATAAAGGCTGATAAAAAGTTAAATTGCTCAACTGAGTGAAAAAGCAAAGCACTGATTGATAAATCCTGTGATGATTAAAAGGGGTGTGTACAGCTTTCAGCTGCTCTGTGTGCTGCGTCTGGGCTGTGTTGAAGCTGCAGCTCTGAAATCTAGTTTTCCTTCAGGAATATTTCCTCCTTGCAGAATTTGCCCCTCTGTGTTGTAATCCTGAAAGATGCAAATCAGATTGAATATAGAAACAAATGTTTTTATATGACATAAAACAGTAAACAACCTTTCATCTCTGTCAGAACAAACAACATGATTTGAAAGCAGCAGCTGTTTGTTCATGATGAATGGACCAATAGAAATACTCCAAATGCAAAACTACAGGGATGCAAACTGGTTGAGCTATTCTTAGATTACAGACGTGTATAATGAAACTTTGGGCCTGCCAGTGGACCCTGGCCATTTAAGGGGTTAAGGAAAAGTCACAAACTACTGCCATTATTGCAAAGACATAGAATTTTTAAAAATTAATTTGTTGGAAGGTCATGTGCTGGGCTGTATTTAGTCCTAAAAACAGTAAGTAAAGGTTTTCGGTGCAATTTTAAATATGCCCTGTTAATGTTTGCAGGTTTCGCGAATGTTTGAGCAGGTTGGGTAGGTTCTGTTTTCTGAGAGTGTGAGTTACCATCACTCAGGTTTGTGTCGTTATTCATACGCCTAAGTAGGATTCTGTACCAGACCACTACTGATCTAGAGTTCTTAAAGAACATATATTCCTCTGTACTCTGGCTGCTAAGTGAATGAAGATGAAAATGAAGATGCTTTATGGGCACAAACTTGGAGTTGTCTAAGCTTCTTCTGTATAACCCCAATGATACCATATGGTTACTCCTGCTGGCTAAATTAATGTAATGCCTAGCTAACTAGCTTTATAAATTAGGCTATAAGTTAACTAGCTACCATGAGTAATAATAATAATAATAATAATAATAATAATAATTTTATTTATATAGCACTTTTCATGCCGGTGGCAGCTCAAAGTGCTTTACAGACAGGTGATAAAACATAGTTATAGAAAAGATCATTAATACTTAATTAGAATCAGAAGAAAATGAAGATTAAATTACAAGATAAACACCAGTTTTACTTAAATGCCTATTTAAAGAGAGAGACTTTTTTAGGTGCTTCTTAAAAGTGAGCACTGAGCTTGACTGTCTAATAAAAGGTGGAATTGAGTTCCACAGTTTAGAAGCAGAATAACTGAAAGAGTCTCTCCATGTTTTCTGTATTGTACAGAGGGTCTCTGTAGAAGGCCACTATCTGCAGATCTTAGATTACCTGCTGGAACATAAACAGACAGACACTCTGTGATGTAAGCAGGTGCTTTAAGGTTGTTTTGAGCTTTAAAGACTAGTAGCTGAACCTTGAAATCTGTACTGAATGATACAGGCAGCCAGTGCAGTTCTTTCAAAGCGGGACTGATCTGATCTCTCTGTGTTGTTTTTGTTAGGTTGCGCGCTGCTGCAGTTTGTACGAGTTGTAAGGGATGTGTAGTTTTCTTAGGAAGTCCAGCAAGAAGAGCATTACAGTAGTCAAGTCGGCTTGTAACAAATGCATGAACAAGTTTCTCTGCGTCGCTCTGAGAGAGAAAAGGCCGAACTTTAGCGATATTTCTTAAATGATAAAAAGCTGCTTTAGTGACCGTGTTTACATGTGGGGTAAAACAGAGGTCAGAGTCTAAGATCACACCCAGGTTTCGTACTTCAGGTTTGGTCATTTTTCTCTGAGTTTCTGTACCAACAATCAGTAATTCAGTTTTTTCATGATTTAATTGTAGAAAATTTTGCGACATCCACTGAGAAATATCTGACACACAGCTGGTTAGTCTGTCTACAGAGTCTTGATCTTCAGAGGGAATAGAAATGTATAGCTGGGTGTCGTCAGCATAGCTATGAAAATTTATGCTATGTTTCCTAATAACATCACCTAGAGGTAGCATGTACAAAGAGAAAAGCAAAGGCCCTAAGACTGAACCTTGGGGGACTCCACAAGAAACGGCAAATCGTTTTGATGAATGATTTCAAAGCGAAACCATGAACTGCCTTATTTAATTACTTAAATATGATTTAAACCATTCTAAAACTGTGCCCGAGAGGCCGACCCAGTATTCAAGACGCTGGAGTAAAATCTTGTGGTCAACGGTATCAAAGGCTGCGCTGAGATCTAATAAAACCAAAATAGAAGGATTTTGAGCATCAGCGCTGAACCTGAGGTCATTGATAACGCAAATCAATGCTTTGTACTATGGTTAGAACGAAAACCTGACTGAAACTTCTCGTATTAATTGTTTGATATTAGATACGTATTTAGTTGTTTGAAAGCAACTTTTTCTAAGACTTTACTTAGAAAAGGTAGGTTTGAAATCGATCTAAAATTATTCAGTATGGAAGGATCCAGTGTTGAATACAGTCCCACCGTGAAGCTGCTGAAAGGCTGAAGGGAAGTTCATGCTCAGAACCATCTGGGGAATTGTTTCAGGTTAGATTTCCAGTAAGAACTGAGCTATTGGGTTTGCAGAGGTTCTGGGTTCTTACACACTAGACAAAATGTGTAGATCATGTCAGTCTAGACGGCGTGTGCTCGGCTAGAGCAGCAGGGAGAAGGGTTTCTACTATTCAAATTTAAGCGAACATATCCGAGTTCTGTCTTTTGACTTTGCCCTTTCATGCATGTTTTCACTGGTTGATGTGTGCTATGTCAGAATCTATTGCAGCAAAAGTTGTAATGATTTGAACTTTTTTAACCCTCAGTGTATCACTCCAATACAGTAATAATTTAGATTAGTTCACAGATTTCATCATATTACAGGTTTGTAAGAGTTAGTCAGTAATCTGTACTGTATACATGTTTAAAGTAACCCTCCCAACCCTGAACACAGTGAGCTGCTGCTGTACCTCAGAGTCGAGAGAGGCTCATCTACTGATATTCAATAACAAATTAGATCTAATATACAGACAGATGTGTTTATATCACAATAAAACAGTAACTCAGTAAGTCTGGTTCCACTGACTTACATTAAAAGTAAAGTATGTTTTTTCCTTCTTCTGTAAAGTTATAATTTTGGATATATAAGGTTTTGTTCCGACATATATATATAATGTTAGATACTCACACATAGGCTGACTTTGGGCAGCTGGAATGTGTTTTTTCCACTTTTATGATATTTTTTTCTGGAATTTTAAAATGGACAAAATTGAAACAGCACTGATCAGGATGGCCAAGAGCAGCAGCTGAGGAAGAGCAGAAAACATTTTTAGTTTATGTTTTTATTACTGTAAAAATCAACATGCCTACATCAGCTCCACTACAGCTACACCTGAACCTAAAGTGCATGTTAAATACAGACTGTTCAGGGTTAAGTCTGTGGCCAAACATCAGACTTTTTAGAATAAATAAAACATCCAGAACTGCATTTTTTGTATATTCTGGATGAGGTACAATACTACAACATTTTTTACCATTACTACTACTACTAACTTATAATAATAATAATAATAATCATAATAATAATAACAATAACAATAACAATAATAATCATCATCATCATCATCATCATCATCGTCATCATCATCATTAATAATTAATCATTAATCATTCATAATTAATATTTATAGTACTAGTAGCAGTGCTTTTTATGATTAGTAGTAGTTTTATTAATATAAGCAACAATTAACATGAGTAATATTTTAATCATGTTATGCAAAATAAGTTAACACATCCTCTACAGAGGACACACTTCTGCAGATTTTAATACACAATCACTGTATATTTAAATGCGTTCTCTGTAGAGGATGTGTGAACTTGTTTTCACTTAGAAAACCAACAAAACGTGTGTTCAAACGTCTGCACAAGACTGTAAGACAGTATCTGTTTGCAAAGACAGAAAATGTGTTAAGATGTTATAAACTCACGGTCAGCATCTGAGGAGATGGTCATCAGCAGGACCAGCCCCAACACCAAACACACACAGCTCATCTTCATCTCCATCTTCTCTGCAGGCGTCTGAAGCTCCGAATGCTTCTTTCTTTGTCTGTATCTCCAGTTTTAGCTGATAAGGCACTATTTAAATTAGCTTATTTTCAAAATAAACAGGCAGTTCTGCCCCCCACCACCCCCACCACTCACCACATCTTCCTCTCAGTGCGCAGAGCAGAAGCTCTAGTGTGAAAATGACCCATGACAGCAGCTCTGATGTATCTGATAAATGCCGTGCATGAGTCTGCAGACAGTCAGTGAAGGCCTGTGACCCAGCCTATTCATAAAGTAACTGATAACAGCAAAACTTCCACCAACGCATCACAGCTAATTTGATGCAGAAGTGAAAAGGTGTTGTAGAGAACTACACAAACAGCTCATCTTTCATCTTTTTAAAATCTTCCTGTTTGGCTTATGTTTCTGTAAAGTTACTAATACATTAATTTCTCTTTTAAGTGAAAAAAAACAAGTTTCAAAACTGGAGTTCAAAAACTGATTAAAAGCTACAGAGAAAATGAGACTCCTAACAACCACCTGGAAGACCTGGTAGACACCAAAACTGCCCCCATCTGATAAACAGCACTTAAAGCTTTCATCTTTGAGAGAGAGGAGAAAATCAAGCTGCATCAGATCTGCTTTAGAGGCTTGGTTATGCAGATGGCCACACACCACACGCCCTCTGATAAAGGTACTTTTTGTGTGGTATAATGTTTTTGCTGTTAGTTTAGGTTGTGTGTATGTGTTATGTGATGTTACGCGCTGGGGGATGTGGGTTTTGTTTGCGAGGAGGTAGTGGTGACCTTCCCTGCAGTTTTGGTGTTCTGTATGTGCCTTTCTTCTGGTGTGTTTAATAAAGAGCAGTATCACTGTAGAATCATGGTCATCCTTGGTCATATCTTTCTTTGTCAGCACTACACTGGTGTCAGAACTGGGATCAGTCCCCAGCAGCTTGTAAAGGAACAGAAATCTTTGTGGTGCAGATGACTGAGCCCAGTGGATAGCTGAGAGGGGAAGCAGCATGGCAAAGACTGGTAGTGAAAAGACAGCAGTTGAAGCAACGCAACAAGGTTCTACAGTGGAGCCAGGCTCAAGGACAGCAACTGGCTATAAAAACAAGGACTGTGGCAGGCAGGAGGAGGCCTGCTTTCTCTTCCACCCATGGCAGTATAGACCCCAATGAGGCTGCTGCTTGTGCACACTGGAGCTCTGACACTCAGTCTTGACTAACTACACCACCATCCACCACACCAGCCTCACCGTGAAGCTTCCTTATGCTGGCCCCATTGTCGGGTCTTCCAGTGCCAGCTCCAACCTCCAGCCCTGCTGCACCAGCCTTGGGGTCAGGCCTCCTTATGCCAGCCACTGTCCAGATATCTTTGCCAGCAGGTTCTTGTGGCCAGCTGCTGTCCTCCAGCCTAGCTCTGCTGTTGAGCCTCATCGCGCTGCCTCAACCACTTGGAGAAAAAGTTTTTTTTAGCTCTTTGTCATAGGCCATGAGTCCATTCAGTGGATGGTGAAGGCCAAGAAGCTTCAGGTACCTTAAAATCCAGAACTTTCACTCATCATAGATGGTGTGGCCTTTCCACAGCAGAGCTGATGGTCTCTCTCAGCTTCACCCCCCCCCCGGTTTAACTTTTCTTTAACCACTCCTAACCTTTTCTTCATCATTCCCCATTTTCTTAACCATTAACATGTCATTCCCCTCCTTCATAATGCTGTAGAGTCCAGGGGTTTTAACATCACCCTTACTTTTTTAAACTTGCATATATGTATATACAGTCATATTGAAAAGTTTTGGCACCCTGGTCAAATTACATTTTGTTGATTTTCTATGAGAAAATAAGTGAACACATCCTCTACAGAGAAAACACCCTTCTGCACATTTTAATGCACAATTATGGTTTATTTGTTAAATTTAACATAAAATTCAGAAAATGTGGCCTGTGCACAAGGTATGACACACTTTATATCATATCTTTTATAAAGGGATACAATTGATATCATTCATGTGGTGAGTTAAGGGTCATTTAAAACTGTTTAGTTGCTCTAAGTGTTGTGTCTGGGTTGTGTGGAAGCTGCGGAACTGGAATCTAGTTCTGAAAGAACCTCTGCATGAATTATGGCAGGCAGAACTCACTCATAGCTGCTGCAACCCTAGAAGACCCAGATGGCTGTGTACTGTGATGCTCTGTACCAGATGCTAGGATGTCTTCTTCCTTGTCCAACTTGTCCCTAGCTGTTGTAACACTGTAAGACACAGTAGACTCAGTACTCTGCTGCTGTGTAGTGGACGCAAGGACGTTTTGCTCATTGTCCAACTTGCCCCTAGCTTTTGTAGCACGAGAACTCACAGCTGACACACTACTCTGCTGCTGTGTAGTGGATGCTAGGATGTCCTCCACCTTGTCGCTGTAAGACACAGTTGACACACTAGTCTGCTGCTGTGTAGTGGACGCTAGGACGTCTTCCTCATTGTCCAACTTGCCTATAGATGTTGCAACACTGTAAGACACAGTTGACACACTACTCTGCCGCTGCGTAGTGGACGCTAGGACGCGTCCCTCATTGTCCAACTTGCCTTTAGCTTTTCGAACACTGAAAGTTGTTGACACAGTACTCTGCTGCTGTGTAGTGGATGCTAGGATGTCCTCCACCTTGTCGCTGTAAGATACAGTTGACACACTAGTCTGCTGCTGTGTAGTGGACGCTAGGACGTCTTCCTCATTGTCCAACTTGCCTATAGATGTTGCAACACTGTAAGACACAGTTGACACACTACTCTGCCGCTGCGTAGTGGACGCTAGGACGCGTCCCTCATTGTCCAACTTGCCTTTAGCTTTTCTAACACTGAAAGTTGTTGACACAGTACTTTGCTGCTGTGTAGTGGACGCCATGATGTCCTCCTTCTTGCAGAACTTGCCTCTAGCTGTTGTAACCCTAAAAGACATAAATAGCACAGTTAACCTCTGCATTAGTGGCTTAGAACTGACCTTATTTTTTCTTCATTTAACCTTATGGTTAAATGGCCAGGGCCGACCAGCAGACCTGAAGTTTTATTACACACTTATAACCTAAGAATGGCTCAACCAGTTTGTATTAAAGTTTCAGAATTAGTGAATAATAAGCCTTAGTATGTCATAAGCCTGGGATTTTAAGTCTCATCTAGTGATATTCATCAGTAAATCAGATTTAATATACAAGCAAATGTGTTTATTTAGTATAATAAAACAGAAACCCACATATATTTATATTCTAAAGGTAAACACTCACATATAGCCCTGCTTTGGACAGTCAGAAGGTGTTTTCTCAACTTTGATGATCTCTTTCTCTGGAATTTTAGAAGTGACGAAGTTCAAACAGCACTGATCAGAAGGAGTGATGGCACGAGCTGATATGAGGAAGAGCAGAAAACACTTTCACACACGTTAAATAGAATCAGTTTAGGGTTAAATGAATGTGCACCAAACATCTTATTATCCTCTCATTATGAAACACCTAGAACTGCGTTCAGGGTATAAAAAGTGTAATACTAAAACAGTTATTACTATTAATACTAATACTAATAATACTAATTACTAATAATAATATTAACTTCTACCATTATTAAACAATAAAATGTATTATTAGGGAAATCTAGGACGTCCTCCTCCTTGTACAGCTTGCCTCGAGGTGTTGTAACCCTGAAAGTCTCGGGTGGTCTGGGTTTCTCCTGCTGTGTAGAGGACGATCGGACTTCCTCTTTGTAGAAGCCGCCGCTAGACCTTATAATGCAGAAAGACACGGATAGCACAGTCAGAGTAGAATAATGTTTAATAAATATATCCTTTATTTTGTATGATGCAGTTTTATAGACTGCAGCTGCTGCTTATAAACAGCGGCTCCTTTTTGTGCAGCTGCAATGTGTTCAAGCGCAAATGCTCACAGCAGGTAAAAGGAGACGGTTAGCTGATGGAAGGAGATCATCAGTCGTCTTAGCTGGCACTAGTTCCGTATCGCACTGTCCACATAATCTGCCTGTTTTAACATTTTACTCTTTACACACACTCATACACTGTAAAAAATGATGTGGCTTCTAAATTTAAAGTAAGTAACCTGATTAACTTGAAATGTTGTCATTAAACTTATAATATTAAGTTAATGGAAGAATAATTTGTGTATTACGCTTGCTAACTTCAATAAACTTAAAATTTCAAGTTTACCTGGTTACTTCATTTTTAAGGTTTAAAAGTTGCATAATTTTTGCAGTGTATTGTTCTTGCAGCATGATAATATTATATTATATGATATGTTAAAATCGGCAGATCAGTAAAAATGAGCAAATAAATGCTTTTAATTTCTGCACATGGATTACAGAGAGTAGTTTTGGCCACCACGCCCCCACCCTCCTTTTGTGTGAGCTGAGAGAGAGAGAGACAAGGAGACGTGAGCTGAGTCAGAGAGCTAACTGTTAGAAAAGAGAAAGGTTCTGCTCATGTACAGCGTGGCTGTGGCAAAAACAGCTGGAAAATAAAGCACTATGTGCAAAAGCTGTAGCTCTTTTAATAACAGTGAATGCTGCAATATTGAAAAAGCAAAGCACTGATTGATAAATCCTGTGACGACTAAAGGGGTGTGTAAAGCTTTTAGCTGCTCTGTTTGCTGCGTCTGCGTCTGGGCTGTGTTGAAGCTGCAGCTCTGAAATCTAGATTTACCACAGGTCCTTCTTGCAGAATCTGCCCCTCGGCGTTGTATACCTGAAAGACAGCACAGTTAAATTAAGTTTGGTTTCACTGAAGAGAGTCTCATCTACTGATAATAATAGCAAATCAGATTTTATATAGAAACAAATATGTTTATGTGACATAATAAAACAGTAAAACACATATCCTCACTGTCGGAAATGGCGCATCGCCCTCTCTTGGTCTGCACGGGACTGTTTTTTCAGTCCTGCACCCACCCGCTCCCTCAAGATTTCATTCCACTCCCACATAAAATCTGATTTATTTGTCCTGCTCCCGACCGCAACCGAAACCTTTGGGCCCACTCCCGCCCGTGCAGTTTCGTCAAGGCGAACTGACATCCAATACACACAGATTGTTTACAAATACGTTATTCTCTGCTGAAATAACAAGTCAGTGACGGTCATCAGACTCACTGTGGAGTGGCTTCAAACGCCATTTATTCCCAGTAAATACAAAGCAGGAATTAAATCAAAGAGCAGTTGTTTTTGGTTCTTTAAGCTATGAGACTGCATGTTGTTCATGTGATCTGTTTCTTCAATTCAATTCTTTAGTTACGGTTAGTGTTTTACGATTAGTGTTTAGTGTTTATTTAGTGTCTATTTAATTCACACATTTCCTGTTTACTGTCTATTTAATGTTATTGCTACACCATGGGGTCTGAGAGTAACGCAATTTCAATACTCTGTATGTCCTGTACATGTTGTAGTATTGACAATAAAGTTGACTTGACTTGACTTTAGACTTAGTTCATTTTATTTGTTTTACTGTTATCCTTTTATATTGTTTATATATATGATTTAGTGATCGTTCTACTTTATTTAGGTTGTTCATTAATTGGTGGGATTTCTCTTCATGCATGCTTCGGCCTGCAGTGGGCTAGTTTCCTGCCTGTTCCCGTGCACAACACTGAAAATTAGTTCCGCGCCGCAAGATATTTTGGCGGGTTATACGGGAATCAGCGGGAGTGCAGACCTCTACTTTCGTGGCTTCTGAGCTCTGAATATTTTTTAACCAGCCCCAAACCTGATAGTGTTAGCAAATCACACGCTTCACCCTGACTCAATTACACTTCACTCATTCATCGTACCATTCAAGGTCACAATCACCCACTTTTCTAACACACATAAAAATCGGTCATCTGAAAACCAGCCCAACCGGATCCTGATGTTACCCATGAAATATGTTGACCCGATGTTTTGTCAGACCCATCGGGCTGCAGACCTCTAACACTGTTTATCAGGACACAGAATTACGCAGATGGAACGCTTTGTTTAGCGTGTTTCTAGTTTTTAGGCCACAAGAATTTAACTGAATGACTGTTTAGCTTTGGAAATTTATAAAAACTGTAAATAAAGTGTTCCTCTGTTAGCTGAACATTAGAGAGGAGACGTGTAGAGGAGATGATTGATGTAGAGTGAGAAGAAATGTGCATAGAACTTTTTGACATTATTGAGAAAACTTTTTTTTTGCATTTTGTTGATGTGTAAATCCTTGTATTTAGTAAAAGAAAAAAAAGGAGCAAATAAAATAATTGCAGATTAATTTGAAAAAATACTGAGGGACGAAATCCCAAAATAATTATACAGTAAACTGTGCTGAGCCCCGTATTTTTACAAGCCCAGCCAACCAAAACTTGTATCTTGTAACAGCAGCTGTTGTTTACATTGTATCAAAATTTTATGATGAATGGACCAATAGAAATGCTCTAAAACTGGTTGGGAAAAAATCTCATTACATTAACTTACATTAAAGTTAGGAAAGCTTTTTCTTCTCCTGAAAAGTTCCTATTTTGGAGATATGAGGTTTTATTCTGACAGTGATGATAAAGGCAGATACTCACACATAGCCGGACTCTGAGCAGCCAGAATGTGTTCTTTCAATTTTTAGTATTGTCTGGAATTTTAAATTTGATGAAGCTGAAACAGCACGGATCAGGATGGGCATTGGAACCAACTGAGGAAGAGGAGAAGAAAGATTTTCAAGCTCTGTCTTTTAACTGTGAAACACTTGGACTGACATATAAAAATCTCTCACCGCAAATACTATTAGAATAATGTTGTTTGACAGACAGACCAGTTTTTTTTTCCACAAAAACAGAATTAGCACGAGAAAAAGGAGAAAAAAAGAGAACCATCTCCTGCACTGAGATTTGTAATGACTATTTTGAAAGTCCAAATTAAAAAATGTAATGAGTAAAAAGTATGTTTTTCTCTTGGAAATGTAACTGAGAAAGAGTACAAGTATTTTAATGATACTTAAGTACAGTAAGAAAGTGTAATTTTCCACCCCTGATTATAATGTGTTAATCTGTGTCTGGATCTGACTGTAGAGATGGAAAGTGTGTTAAACTTACCAGTAGCATCTGAGAAGACGGTCATCAGCAGGACCAGCCCCAGCACCAAACACACACAGCTCATCTTCATCTCCATCTTCTCTGCAGGCGTCTGAAGCTCTGAATGTTTCTCTCTCCGTCTGTATCTCCAGTTTAAGATACTCTTTTTTATAATTCATTTTCAGTCCTTTATTAAAGGCTCTGCCCCCCACGGCCTCCTCTGTTCACCACATCTTCCTCTCAGAGTGCAGAGCAGAGGCTCTAGTATGAAGATGACCCATGAAGATAGCAGCTCTGATGTATCTGATAAGCTCAGTGCTCTAGACATCAGACAGTTACTGAAAACCTGTGACGCAGTTTATTCGTCCTGTGGACACATAAAACCTTGCTGCATAAAACCAAGCTTACGGCCATGCAGTCTCCACAGACTAACACTGGCAGTAGAGTCATATTGAAGAGCCCAGAGACTTTCAACATGGCTCTGTCTCAGGATGCCACCTGTTCAGAAAGTCAGTTTGTCAAATTTCTGCTTTGCTAGAGCTGCCCTGGTCAAACGTCAGTGATATTGTAAACTGGAAACATCTAGTAGCAACAACAGCTCACCCACAAAGACGTACGACACACAAGATCAGACACAGGACTAATACACACTGAAGCTTATAGCACATAAACATTTTATGTCAAGTCTCCTGAAAAGAATAGAAGTTGTAATAAAGGTAAACAGTGGACACACTAAATACTGAAAAAAAATGTGATATTATTTTTAGTTGTTGAATTTTCTGTGTGATCTATCATAACAATACATGGGCTGCAGGCAAGGTACGAGATATGGGAGCTACTGGGGGTCCGGGACCCACAAAATTAACCTTTTGGACTCACATTTTTTGGGGGGACCCTTAAAAGAAAGAACACAATAGAGAGAAGTAGTGTGTTGTGATGTTGTGCAGAAAGAGGCATGTGCATAATGTGATGGGTTGCAGTCTCAAAGTGCATGTGTCATGGACAGTGGCTACTATGTGTGATGCGGGTCAGAAGTACTGTGGGTTTTTTGCAGATTGAGTAGCATATATGTGTATAGGGTCGTTTATGTAGTTATGTCATGCTTAGAATAAGCAGTAACATTCAACATAATACCAAAGTAAGACCTGAGCATTCAGCCCACAGTGGAAAACAAGGATCCCCTTGTAATCAGCTGCAGGCACAGCATAAACACAGTACTCAGATTCTGAGATGCAGTGGAGGTCCTGGACTGGAGATGAGGGTGTGGTGTTAAAAACTGATGTTTGAGCCTTTCAGTGGAATCAGTTATGAAGGCTGCATATTATTGAGTTTGATTCCCAGCAGAGCTACAGTGGAGACAAGAGTCCAACAACCGAGGAGGCTGTTACTTCCTAACTTGGTATCCAGAAAACACATACATTGGTAAACCATGCTGATGAATTCATTATTAAATAGATGAATAAGTAAGTAAACAAATAAATAATTAAAGAAATGTTGTGACCTTTAAGTGTCCAGATGGAGACGGTGGAGGGGTGGAGAGGTCAGACTGCCGTGCCACACTGAAGTGAAAGTTCTTGAGTGCAGGGGACCTAAAGAACGTGAGAAGCTGAGATGTTGGCCACCATAACTCTATCTACTTAAATGTGCATTATCATGCCACCAAAACCCATCAGTATACCTGGGAGACAACCCAACACTATTTGAGTTCTGGACGCTTAAGGAGTGCTGAACTATAGACACGAAGCTAAAAAAAGTTGGCATAACCAATCAAAGCCTCCATTTCAGCTAAGAGGCGGGACATTTCTCCAACAGTAAAGCCTTGCTGAGTTGCTGTTCAGTGAGAGGAGCTGCAGCTCACTAATCCAGTAAAAATACTTTTACTGCGATACGGGAACTAATTCACTCAGTCACAGTTTACGGTACCACACCTTGTGATATTATTAAATGTCTGTTTAACTGTTTCTTGTTTGGTGCAGAACTATCAAACTTTTTGTTTAGTTGAGTCCATTTTGACGTGTTGACACTCCCCCTGTATTCACCATGAACTTTTCTCAGAGAACATCACAGAAACTCATATCATTCTTGCATCACGAGCCGCTGTTAATAGTGACAAATAAAAAATAGTGAATAAATACTTTTGATTTTTGCACATGGACTGTAGAGGGTAGTTCTGGCCAACAATCAGCAACCTGTTGCTTTATGATGAACGTAGACATTAAGCGTCTCTGTTTTCATGGTGGTGAATGTGAGAATAAAAGGGCACTTGCAAAATCTCTGAGCAACAACCGAAAACCCACATGTGTAATTTGACGCACTCCAGCTGGTGCAGTGTGAAACCAACCAAACCAATGAAAAAGACACAGTGTCAGAAAAAACCCAGAGTCTGGTGAGAACTTCAGAAAACCAAATCAGCCTGATGTTCTGCAGAGATGATAGTGAGCGAAGGTTGAGGCTGAAATCAGTGACTCGATCAAAACAGTCACTGACTCTGTTCATGAATAGGCTGGCATGTTATTAACATGACATGAAGAGGACAAGCTGCATTTTCTCTCTCAGCCAGCTGAAGGTTTTTTTTTTGTTTGTTTTTAGGCAATAATTTTTACCCCACTGCTTTTGGAGGTGTGGAGCCACTCTGTGCATTATTACAAGATGATTTCACTTTATTACAGTTTTTGTGGTTCTGAATGTAAATGAACTTACAGCCTCTACAATATAACCACTATATCACTATCACTGTATCATTCTTTTATATAATATCCATGTAATAAAGTGACAATATAAATGATTCACTTGAAATGTTTGCAACGCATTGTTTTATTTTGATTCACAGCATAACGTAAGCATTACATAATAATAATTACATAATTGGCATTGATTATTGCATAAAAGTTGGAGCTCTGAAATCTAATTTGTCTTTATGATGTTATTTTTCTCTGTAGAGATTTTCGTCAAACATTGTTTTATTTCCACAGAGTTAAACAATCACTGATAATATTGAAAAAGCAAAGCGCTGATTGATAAATCATGTGATGATTAAAGGGGTGTGTAAAGCTTTTAGCTGCTCTGTTTGCTGCGTCTGGGTTGTGCTGAAGCTGCAGCTCTGAAATCAAGATTTACTTCAGGACACCTTCCTTCTTGCAGAATTTGCCCCTTCTCGTTGTAATCCTGAAAGATGCAAAACAGATTTAATATATAAATAAATGTATTAATGTGACACAATAAAACTACACATTGTCTCTATTGCAACAAAAACTTGTACGTTCTTTTTTTAACTTGATTTTAAATCAGCAGCTGTTGTTTACATTATGCCAAAAGTTCATGAAGAATGGACCAATAGAAATGCTCCAAAAAGTTGGGAACAAATCTCATTTCATTAACTTACATTAAAGTTGAGAATGTTTTTTTCTTCTCCTGAAAAAATTCCTGTTTTGGAGCTATGAGTTTATATTCTGACACAGAAGAAGAGTCCAAATATTTGTTTTCAATAGTGCTTAAGTACAAGTCTTCCAACATTATACTTAAGTACAGTAAGAAAGTATAATTGCTCAAGTATTTTCCACCCCTGACTGTAATGTGTTAATCTGTGTCTGGATCTGACTGTAAAGCTAGAAAGCATGTTAAATTCACTGTCAGCATCTGAGGAGACGGTCATCAGCAGGACCAGCCCCAGCACCAAACACACACAGCTCATCTTCATCTCCATCTTCACTGCAGGCGTGTGAAGCTCTGAGTGTTTCTCTCTCCGTCTGTGTCTCCAGCTTTATCAGGTAAGGCTCTATTTAAATTAGCTGTTGTTCACTTGTTTATCAAAAACAGGTGGTTTTGCCCCCGACACCCACTCACCACATCTTCCTCTCAGAGTGCAGAGCAGAAACTCTAGTATGAAGATGACCTATGATAGCAGCCCTATGATTGCTCAGTGCACTAAACATCAGCAAACTCTACAGACAGACACTGGCAGTAAACTGAGTCGTACTGAAGAGCTCAGTGGCTTTCAGCACGGCTTTGTCTCTGGATGACACCAGTCCAAAAAGTCAATTTATCAAATTTCTGCCCTGCTAGAGATGCCCTGGTCCAATATAAGCATTGTCATAAATTGGAAACATCTAGGTGAGAACTTCAGAAAACCAAATCAGCCTGATGTTCTGCAGAGATGATAGTTAGCGAAGGTTGAGGCAGAACTCAGTGACTCGATCAAAACAGTCACTGACTCTGTTCATGAATAGGCTGGCCTGTTATTAGCATGACAAGAAGAGGCCAAGCTGCATTTTGTCTCAACCAGCTGAGGGTTTGTTTGTTTCTTTTTAGGCAATAACTGGTAAAGCTCTATTTAAATTAGCTGTTTTTCAAACGTTTATTAAAAACAGGTGTTTCTGTCCATCCTTCCACTGTGAGAAGACGACTCAGCGCTGTGGGTCTGAAAGGATGTGTAGCTGATCAAGACGAACCTTACTGAGAAAAGGAGACGGACACATCAAACAAAGAAGCTGAACAATGGACTGACCACCCCAGAGTCCAGACCTCAACACCACTGAATGTGTTTGATTACTTCAGAAAATGATCAACCAGCTTCTGAGACCGAACTTTGGAGGTGTGTCTGCAGATTCTTTGAGGAGCTGAAAGTGAGTCTCCTGAAAAGAATGGAGGCTGTAATGAAGGTAAAGAGTGAACAAACTAAATACTGAAATAAATTGATAGAGTTGTGTGTTGAGGCTGCTGTGCTATTAACAGTATTTCAAGATGCAGTGAAGGTCCTGGATTGAAGGTAAGAGACTGATGTTAAAAGCTGACATTTGGCTAATAATTAAGTGGTGAAATCAGATGGACTTGTTGAATTTTAATCCCAGCGGAGCTACAGCAGCACCAGGAGTCCAACAACTGCGGATGGAAAACTTGACTAGATCAATAAATGAGTAAACAAACAGAGAATTAAGGAAATTTCATGACGCTTCACTGTTCAGACGGACAGAAGAGGGTTTGATAGCTTTTCTCTCCAGATATAAATATGCTTGTTACCTCACAAGTGTAACTAAATCTATGTTCAGAGCGTATTGAGCAAAAAATCTGCATCTGAGCCACAAACAATCCACCTTTGAC